GTTGTTGTATAATAATATATATATATATATATATATATATATATATATATAAAAATTACTATTATTTCTCCAAAAGTATTTTTTACTTGTGTAATTTACGATAATATAGAAATTACACCAGTTAAAATAGGAATTATGTAGGAAACGGTGTTACCAGTTGAGAATTAAATATCAACATTTTGTTCGCTTCAACACACACATATAATTGCAAGCTATCCAAAATGATTAATGGCGGTCTCATTCTTCACGAGGTAATTCGCGCTTATTCATGAACTCTGACGAAATCCGCGATATGTCTTGTGATCACTATACTTCACAGTAATCCCCGAAATTTGTATGCATTTCACACGATATAGACCGACCATCCTTTCGCGCTGAAAATCAACTTTGCTACTTATTCCAACCTTTCTATCAACCTTCGTCGGAGAACCGGTTAACATGCTAATGTCGTTACATATTAATTACCATTAATGCCAGCGAGTACTCGGCTATCCTAAAAACAAACTGGTAACCAATTGAAAATAAATTCAAATAACAAGGATGATTATATTTATGACAATATATGAATGCGTAAGTGCAGTTTCAAAAACATCAGTAGAATTTAAATGAGTCTTTTTTTTGTACGGCAATGAAAAATATTATTATTAAATATCTATTTAACAATCTTGACACTAAATTGATTCTGTCATATAGTATAATTAATTCCGTTATATAGTATAGTATCTCTAATACATTTATTGTTCCAACTGGACTTTGAGTTCAAGCTCGCATTTCTTTCAAACTCGTTTACTTTGCAAAGTAAAAAATTTAAAATGAGAGCTTTTTTTATTTATTAGAAAATAAAAGTTTGAAATTTATATCGGAGGAAATTTATTTCGCGCATTAAATTTTTATTTTACAAGACAATTAGGATGCTATCCGCATAATATGCAATTGTATAGTTATCAATTTCTTCTGTCACGCAGTGTCGCTAATATAGGTATAAATCAATAACGCAGTAATTATCGAGCGGAACGCATAATTAACGACTGAACTAATTCACGGCTAAAACGCGTAAGACTCATTACGCTCGCGAAATTCCAAACGGCGTTACATATGATCGAGCAACTCTGATTCCCGAAGTTTGCTTATGAGTTACACGACAGATTATTTTGGACTATGCAGACGCGAGTTTGTTCTGTGCGCTTCGAAGAAAATAACGCGATTAAACTAACTCCGATACGCGCCGTTGAGTCAAGTGATAATAATTGCGGCCGTGGAATAATTAACTGTGCGCGAATGTCCATTTGCGTGAGATAAACCGACCTTAGCGGGCTTTAATTTAGAGAAAGAGCCTAATGTACTTTCGAAATTGTTTTTCGCGAATGTACCGCTATGGTTCGAGGCCTCCCGCTGTTTCTTGTTATATAAATTCCTGCCTGATGAATCCCTTAAATCGTTGTAAATCAAGGATATATTCTTTCAATGACCTTCGCCTCAATCTATAATATCGCTTTAATTGCTTTAATTTAAGATTACATTTTATCCACATTCGTAAAATTCAATTATACGAATAGAATTGTATGTAAATATGTAAATAAGTAGAAAACTTTGCGTTATAATTCCAGTTACTCATTCACTTAACAGAGTGATGTTGTTCTTTGTAAATTTAAAATGGAAAAATGTGATAATACATCCATTTTTCCATCATTTTAAGCGTGTCGAACTTTTCCTCTGAATTTTTCAATGGTTTTGCTTTATTACAAAAGCCGTTGGTCCACTACGAATTGATCCTAAATTAAGCGGTACAGTTAACACGTTTCATCGCATTCTAGCGGTCTCTCATTATAATGAGATTTATATTTTTAAAATAATATTTTTCAAAGCGTTACCTCATACAAAATGTGATATTCGAGATATTTCGAGATCTCTTTCATGTTGGTACAATTCATTATTACATTCGTTTTCTCGCGTTCGCGAGATTCAACAAATTTTGTGTTGAATCAATCTAATTAAACTTCCCCTCCCTTCTCTCTCTCTCTCTCTCTATCTCTCTCTGTCTTTCTCTCTATTTTTTTCTATATATCTATCTCTATATTTATATTAGATAGATATATAGAAGATTTCTAATCTATCACATGATTCATCAAACGATATCTATACTAGAGATCGTTAGCTCAAAGTGGCTCACGCATGGCCAACGAAAGCCTCAAAATTCCAAGGCACACCGAATCGTAATCGCGAATGAGCGGGTCGGGTCGATTCCGAGTGCAATTTAATTTGCGAATTCTCCGCCGTTCCGCAGAAACAACGTGATTCGCAGAAACAACCTGCCGTGTTTGACCCGCGACCGGGGCTCTTTGCGACCCTAATGACTGTCCCGCTGTGCGGCAAACGACAAAATCAATTCAGCGGTATATGAAGGCGGGCGCCATGAAAAATCGCCGCCGGACTCAATTTCGCACGCGATACATTTTCACATACGTGCGTCACATACGGCGGTACGTGCATTCGGGATCGCGTCCCTTTTGCACGAACGTCGAAACGCGCGCGCGCGCGCGCGCGCGCGCACGCCCACGTATACACGTGCGATAACCTATTGCACGTGGTGCATCCGTGTACAGGAACGAGTGTGCCGATTAGCGTGACGGTACGTTGCATCCGCGGCACGCGCGCCGTGATACCGGGTGTCCGCGGAGAAGCGCGGCTGATTGGCGCGTTCGAGCTATAATTGGCCGACTGCAGTCGGTTTGCTCGGTTTTGATCGGTGATAGGAGAGTGGCTCTTTCGGAGATAAAGACCAGGCAATTGACGAGTTCGCATTCTTCACCTTCACTCGCGTTATAAACAGAGCCGCGTTTGGAAAATCGCATTGCGCGACAATTTTGTTTGAACGATAAATACAGAAAGGGTCTTATATAAGCACTTTATATAAACTCGTTATTTCTCGAATATATATTACTTGAGACCAGCGAGAGACTCGAAGGTATTGATAAGTTTTCCAGAAATTCCAAGTACGATTTTCGCAAAGACGCGAAAATTATAATTGGAGCGTGAAAACATCTGACGTAAAATTAAATTTGAACATTGCAAATTAAATCGTTTTCACGGTTCTTCGATGACGAAATGTACGACAGATCACGGAGCTTTTGCTCAAATGAATATCGAATATTGTTTGCTAAATTAATGAACGAGCGAAAAACACAAGCTCGCGCTGGCGGGCATATTTCCGCGATGTTAAATATTTATTCAGGAAATTAACATCCGTCACAAATGCGCCATGTATCGCGTCGTACTATGGCGTGGCTCTGATAATTGTTTCGACTAGCATAAATATCATAATTTGTAAAATCCCGTTGATGATTAAACAGCATCCGCCGGCGCAAAAACCGATGTGCGGAAATCTTTTCGACGGAACCGACGCGACGCGGTAGAGTTAGGCACGTCACGCTGGTGTGATAACAGTCAACTATTCGGCCTTTGGATAAGGAAGTGAAAAAAATCCCGTTATCGCCCGTCTGTATCGCGAACCGTTCTGGGGAGAGGAACGGCATTATAACTGGCGTAAGCGAATTCTAGCTGCGTGTGGGATACCAACATCTTTGAAATATTGAACGCATTCGAATGCATTCTCTTTTCCAAGGAATCGTACAAGGACAACTATAGAGAATGCTATTTTCCCTACAATATTCTTATCTTTTTAAATATGTCTACCTAAGAGAAATATAGAGAGATAAACGAGAAAAGTTTCTTCGTTTCTTTTTTTTTTTTTTTTTTTTAGCAGTATTAAACTTACGCGACGACCCAATAATTGCTCATAATTACGTAAAGATTAGTGGTTCTAACGGAATTACATTTTCACACGTTTTAATTCGCGCAGAAAGTGTTCACATATTTGTTCAGAGCAATGAAAAAGACGATTAATTTTATTAACACGTTTCATTCCTACGCACGTGTAATTAAGTCCTCGGGCACTCTCAAATGCTGCGATAAATCTCCAATAATTATGAAAAATTTACGCTTCGAATTACGCTCCGAATTACTAAAAACGGATAAATGAGGTAAAGACATCGTTCTTTTTGCAAACGCGGTTTTTTTCTCTCTCTCTCGTTTCGCTGTGTTAAATGGTACGCACGCGAAGTCCTTCAAAAACCACCATGTCCGGTTACTCAATCGTACGTGATTTGCATAATTTTGCCTGCGATTCCTGTTGGAAGAAGTGCATCCGCGTCTCCGCGGTGCATCCGTGTATTTTTCTCTGTAACCTTAATCATCGTTCATCATTTCCTATGACAAACGAGTCGGTTGATCGCATTATAGCGATGCGCGTGCGTGAATTTGTGCAGCGAGCTAGATATCATCCGCGGCGAATGCATTTCTCATAACTCACGATTATGCAACCGCGATTATAAAACCGCGCTAGTTACTTTAGTGCATACGATTACGATAGCGGCAGTTGACATTCGGGGAAATACGCTATCGCTCAGTTTTCGGCATATGTGGTATCATTTATATTATTTAACAAACTATTTCGAGACTCAGGAAACCCAGAAGGTAACGGATCCATTAATTGTAAGTTCATGTTTTATATCGCTCGATAAATTTATCGGATATATGCTCATTATGTAAGCGGATTCAACAGCGGAAATTAAAAAATTACTCGAAAAAAATTATTGAAATTGTCGAGATCAGAGATATTTTAACTTCAGAAGCCTCTCGAGCAACGTTAACGAGCATGTTCAACAAAAATTTATCGCATATATGAAGTTTTAGATCATTTCTTTACCGTTATTTCAGTTAAGCAGTTAAGTTTGATAATTATATAATTGATATCATTTATTCATCAAATCCTCGAAATTTTTATTAATTTCAAACCGGATGGTGGTCGCGTGTCGATCAAGGTGCTAGGTGTTGTGTTTGCCTTAGCGAAAGCAATACTTCCCTGTATACACGGGTTCCGGGTAACCGGTGCACGTCATTGTTTGATGTAGTTGCGGTGGTGTCGCAGGTCTGGAACGGGTAGCAGAGGAGTTGATGGGCCGTAGGAGATGGAAGCAATACCAGGACACCCTGTACAGCGGCACCCGCAGCAGCGAATCACAGCCCCACCATCGGCTTTACCCGGCGTTGTCGTCGTCCTGCAACCCGATACCCGGGAGCCTGGACCAGATTGGGCCGCAGCTGCATCACCCGGCATCCACGTCGTTGCCGTCGACGGTGCTAACGACGGCGACGACCACGACGACGACGACGGCGACGACCGGCGTGGTGAAGCAGGAGAGTCTCCAGAGGCATCATCTGCAGAATCACCATCATCATCTGTCTGCGCCGGTTCAGGATCACCTACAGCAGGAGGATTCGCGCCGCTTGAGGCCGGGCGAGATCAAGATCGAGACCGCCGACGAGGAGGCCACAGACGGTGCCGCGCGGGAGGACACCTCGACGAGGACGACGGATACGACGTCGGCGACAGCGACAGCGACGGCGGGAGTAACAATAACGACGGTGACGGCGACGACCACCGGTATCGCGACGACCGCGTCGACAACGACAACGGCGACCGGCACGACGACGATAGCGACGAGACGGCGACGTGGGCGCCGGCAAAACGACGGGGAGGACGTCGACGGAGAGGAGGACGGCGACGAGAACGACGAGGAGACGGGACAGGGCCAGAACGAAGCGGAAAAACGGCTCAAGCTCGACGAGAACGCCGACAGATCGGCGGTCAGCCCTCTCAGGACGGAGAACGATCGTGCGACTCGGGATCATCCGACTGCCAACGCTACCGACACGGAAGGGACCAAGGTTAGTCTAAAAAAAAAAAATCTGCCATGTACAATAATAACTTAAGACATTATCTCAAGAATAATTAATAAATAATAAGAAAAAAAAATTGAATCAAATATTGTAAGGAAATAATAAGATACATAAATTTAAATCATTAAAGATTCAATTGCAATTTTTAAATAATTTTTCATTATTTACCCGCATTCTGTCCTTGTGATCTAGCTTTCATCTTTTGATTTCTCCATTTTAGGAACGAACGGAGGAAGTCGCGTTGGAGCGGGCACCGGTAACACAGGGCTTACTGAGGGTAAAGAAAGAGGAGGAACTGCAGGAAGTACCGGGTTCTGGCGGCGGCACCACGATACTGACGACGCCGGCGACGAATTCGGAAGGGACCAGGTCGGGGCTGCTATGCCGCGACGGAAACGCGACCGCGACGAGCGTCGCGACGCCGTTTCTCCTTGGAAGACGCACGAGCCCGCCGCCGGAGGACTGGAAGCCGCTCGACAAGTGTTACTTCTGCCTCGACGGCAAGCTATCCCACGACGACCAGCCGCCCCTTGTAAGTACCCTCCGGCGAGTCTGTCGAGTGTGAGGTTGCGCATGGCTGAGCATCGACCTCGTCCTTCATTGCTAATTTTGTGTAGAGATTATCTCCGCGAGGGGGACGATACAGACAGGAATAAGCGAACGGATGCATAAGTTAGTCTTTCCTCGCGTGGAATCCGGATCCCAAAATTCCGCGGCGAACGCTTCGAATGATCTCGGAATGTGAGAGATGAGATCTTCTGTGTTGACGATTTACCGAGACGATAGATAAATCAGTGCATACTAATGCTACTAGTTTTTCGTTCGCCATACCACATTTTTACGCAATCGCGTCATTGGAATCTCGTTTCACCCTCGTTTCACGTTTCACCTGTTGTGCCGTCGCGGGAGCGGCTCGAGTCTGACCTAGCCTTTGCAACTTTTGATTAAGTCGAGCGTACTTGGCGTTACCTCAGCGTCGGTCGCACCGCCGCATCGCCGCCAGTCTCCTCTCAACTTTGATCACTTTGATGCGCCCCATAAAAGATTCACGAGGACTCGCGAAGGCGGCGTGCCTTACGAGAAATGAATTCGATCGGAATTCGATCCCGCCGCATCGCGTCTTCTCGCGGATTTCTCCTTGGTGCCCCTTTCTGCCGTCCGACCAATCCGCCAGTTATTCAGTCGGACGTCCTTTTCCGCGAGCCGGGATGACACGTTTCTCCGTGTTGTGCCCCGCAGAGTCCGCAGAGCGACAGTAGCAGCAGCTCGCGATCGGCGGAGTCACCGATGTCGGTCCAGGTGGACCCGATGGCGGCGTCCGTGGTCGCCGCCGCTCTCAGCGGTACTTACCCTACCTTGCTGCCCCAATGGTGCTTACCGCCGAGGGAGGCGCCCCTCGTTGGGGTGCAGACCCATCAAGACAGTGCCGCGGTGGCCGATCAACCGCTTGATCTTTCGGCCAAACCCAGAAATTCTCAGGTAAGTTCGAGGCTCATCTTGCCGCGTGGAAATACACGAACGCTCTCAACTTCGTTATTATTCTTGCTAACTGCTCGTTCGAGTTGTACGATTATTGGATTCGCGCGACAAGAACGATCGAACAATCACGCAGTTCGTCAAGTTTGATGAAAAACACATAACGAGACGGAAACGATTGTAACGATGTGCAAATTATTCACAACTGTTACTCATACTTTTTAGAAGGCTATCATGATAATGATCATTATATATATGCGACGGTCGCTATTTCATGTACTGCTGAACAATAATTCCTTTCACGTAGCATTTTATTAGTGCTTCTTAGTCGTGTTGAAGTGACTAACGCTGACGTCTAAGTAACGAAGCTGTATGCTTGTGTAATATTAATTATTCATTTGTTTGAAATGACTCGGTTTTTTTATATTAATATAATTATTTATTTGTTTGTTCAGGACAACAACATATCTCTACTGGAACAACAGAAAATACCTCTGAGAATGCCGACAGGCATCGATCCCAAGACTATCCTCAAGTGAGTAATTTTTTAATATTAAATTGGTACCATATGATGTATTAAATTTAAATTATCCATATATACAAATACATATTTACTTATATCTGATTTGTCAAAATGATGAATAATTAAAAGTTAAAAGAGGAAAAATAGTCATAAAGTAATCGAATAGCTATGAACAGAAATAAAAGCTGGAATAAAGTTGGAAAGGTTCCAATCAAATTCCTAAAATTTTCTATTTTTGATTTAAACGTTTTATTGAATCTCGTTTTTAAATTTGATTTTTTGTTAATTGTCAATTTCATATAACATATTAATATTAAAGTGTTAAAGTGTTAAGCGAGAAATGTACGATTCAACTGTAATCTCACATTAAAAATGATAAGAATAGCTATCTTTAAAAGTGCACATTAAAATAAAAACGAAAAAGAACGTAGAAAAATCCAAGCGGAATATTTGGTTTCGACAAGAGGACATTCTTTTTCACACACGGTGAAAAATCGTCGTTTATCAACGACAATGAGGCATCGTTTCGGCGTTATCGCGCAATTCCCTTTGCACCTCGAGACGAGTCACCGATACGAATATGCATTCCGTACAAATGTGGAAAAAAAAAAGAATACGATTCGCGATCGCATTCCGTAGCGAACGTTCTTCGTGATCGAGTGGCCGTTTAAGCCGGGCCGGGCGGGCGTTTCGATAAGGCGTCGATTAAAACACCGCCGACGAACGACTTTCGAAAATCGCGAAACTGACAGCCAGTCGATCCGGAATGCCGTCGCAATTAGGTGCCAATCACGCGGCCGGGCATAACCGTGATTTATCTCCCTCGTAAAGACGTCACGCGCGACAACGGCAGAGGGGAATCGTATCGTTCGCTCGACACTGCTGCAGGCTGATCGAATCCGCCGTCGTATTCTGCGTATTTTCGGATTATTCGGAGAAATATGCGGAATAAAATCACCAATTGATGTGTGATATTAAATTTTAAAAATTCTTTAAAAAAACAAATTTGCGTATACAGTTTTTCTCAAAAATATCGCATTTTTTATATATCTATAATTATTAGAGCTATATCTTTAATTGTCTTATAAGAAATAGATTCATTGGACGTACCGTCAATTGTTAACAAATTTTTATGTATGTGTTGCATCGC